TATCTTAGACTTCTTGAAAGCCCCCTGTCATCAGCAGAAGGTGAAGCCACCCCTCCAACACCATGCCCCAGTAGGCCTTTCAGTGAAGACTCCTGACCAACTGACTGATTGCGAGTCCTACACAATCGCCATCTGAACTCAGCCTTCAATCATTTGATGTATTCTTTCATTCTTTCTTTCAGGCACTGTCTGGATACCAGGTTCTATGCTTAGTACAAGTTGAGTACAATTTGGTCCCCGGTCTCAGAGAGCACAGAAAACATTGGGGGAAGAATGTATGAGTAAATGAACAAACAAACAAAGCTGCCCCGTCACCCCACACATGTAGCATCTTCCACAAACTGCTGGCAGAGTGGTCAACAAACAGACTGTCAACGATGGCCCTGAAGAGCCACAATCTGTGAGGTAACTACAAATGTCAAGTTGGCTTCATTTGTTTCTTCAGGCAAAACGTAAAGTCTCCAGGGAGCGGTGCAATGGAAAACCCCTGGGAAGTGTACAAAAAACACAAGGAGAGAGATAGCCGTCAAGTACCGCAAAACAACCACAACCACTACCACAACCAGAACAGCATGTTTTCATTCTCTTAGAATTGGCTGTCTCTTCTCTCTGTAGAGAACCAAGGCAAAGATACAATTATGGAGAAATCTATGGGTCTAATTTGTGAAAACCAAGCACGGAACAGACTTTGTGAAGTTATTGCATCTATTACTGCCATTTCATCCTTAATTTTAATTTAAAAAAAAAAGGAAATCAAAAGCTCTTCTCTCTAATAAAATTAGAATATTTTAATAAAACCATAAAAATAAGGTAAGGCACAATGTACCAAATGTGAGCGATCAACACAGTGGCACTGAAGAAGAGGAAGACATAGAGAGGTACATAGGAGGTACACACCACAAAGATGAACCCTTTTGCACGTACAGTACTACATTGTCAGTGAAGGCAAACATGGCTATATGGGGGGATAGATGGGTGGACAGGCTGAACTATTAATTATGTCTATGCAGGGGGAAGTGTACCCAAGACTATGTACAGGGTTGGCAGACAATGTTTCTACAAGTGTATTGGTATGTTCTGTAAGAATTCCCAGGTATATAATAGAGCTGTCAAGTGACATGGTTGTAGTCACTTCTTGGCCACAGCCAGCTACCCAGAGGGACCGAGTGAATATTTGGGCCTGTGGGCTCGGTACCACAGTCCCAGGGGACATCAAGCTCAATTGGCATAACATACGACACAAAACATTGTTCCACATCCTACTTTGGCAAGTAGCGACTGGGATCTTAAAAGCTTGTAAATGCCCATCTAGATGCAACCATGAGTCTCTCCTCGTCCAAAGCAAAGAAGAATGAAGAAAACCAAAGACACATGGAAACAATTAGTCCAAGGGACTGGTACACCTTGCAATCCTCAGCCTATATGACTATGAGACCAGAAGAACTAGATGGTGCCTGGCTACCACTGTCAACCACTTGAAGGGAGATCTATATAGGAGATCCTGGAAAGAATGGAAGAACAATGTGGAACAAAACTCAAAATCATTAAAAAGAAAAAAGGGACCAAGTGTGCTGGCCTGATAGAGCTTGGTGGAACCACTGAGACATGGCCTCTAGCTGCCCTTCAAGTCTGGACTTGAACCCACTCCTGTGGCTTCCAGCCAAACAAAAGACAGGCATATGAGGTGAACATTTACACTAGGTAGATACACTCTTTGGAGAAATCAATCATGGGAGAATAGGAGGGTTGTGTATTCACAGGGAGATAGCTCGGGGGGGGGGGCAGGAGTGCATGGGAGGGAAGGACACAGGGAAGAGGTAACTAT